ACCAGTGCTTACATTTTATCCATGTATGGAAGAGATTTCAGAGGTCTGAGTCATTAAAACCTACAGAGAATAAAAAAACTTGGCAAATATGAAAGCAAGGCATTTTAAAAGGCTCTGAGGAGACAGCCTGCTCCCCCTTGCTACTGAAGATGTGATAGATGAGTTGCCATTTATGTGTAGGAGCTGACAATCTGAGGATTTGGGCAAGCCTATGAACTTAATTACATACAGTGCGTCCCAAAACAGCTTAAATAGATATACATGCCAAAAGCTGAGAGGGAACCTTTTGATCCTACTAAGAAAAAAAACAAAACAAACAAAAAAAAAGAAACCAACATTTAAAGTAGCAGCCTTGTGTGTTATCTACAGACAAACTTCCTGCCAAATATTATTGTCTCTGCCAAGAACTATGGTATTTTTGGATAGTTTCTTATTTACAACCCCTCCTTGTGCATGAAACAGTGATGTTTTGCCATTTTTAGGTGTGGCTGATTATATAACAAGCTCAAAAAATTTCAAGCAAGAATCTCTTCTCAGAGGACTTGTCTTACTGGAGAGAGCATTACAACAAACTTCAGCTTCCCTATAAAAAACACTAACAACAAAACCAAGAAAAAACAACCCACTTAACCAAACCAGGTATTCCAAGGGAAAAAAACAACAACAAACATGCTGAGGAAAGGTCCAAGGGATGTTTGTTGTTGTGGTACCTTAGTCAACAATATGACATTCTCTGTAAGCATATGGGATTTATGAGGGATGATACCCTGCTCTTGGTAATACTACAGTAAGCAAACAGAATCAGTGGTATTAGCTTTTTTCCTCCCCATCCTGATTTTTGGATGTGTATCCATGCGTCTTCCAGATCTGGCTTTATGAAAAGCAGACTTTCTGATGACATTCAGCTTCCAAGCCCTTAGTACCCACTCAGAGAGTTGCTAAGAAATCACAGTTCAGCATCACGTTTCCTCCCTCAAGACAATTCAGCAGGGCTCAGATTCTCAGAGGTCACTGAGGATCTGGGACTCAGGAAATCTGAGCTCTGTTCCCAGCCTTCTGCTATCACTGCACAACAGTGCAGCACCTCATTTTCTCAAATTAAAAAAGGGCTAAAACCACCAGCCTCCTTTTCAAGAACTTAAAAAAAAAAAAAAAAATTAAAAGAAAAAGGATCGATACACTGTGCACTTATCACTCAATCTTCACATCCCCCCCAAAAACCTCACAGGATTTTAATGTTTACTGGCCACAAGCTCCTGCAATATTCCAGGTAACATTTATACCAATTCAAACACAGTAGCATTTCTCAAGAACAGAGACTTCTCTTTCTCCCACGTCTACCCAGAGTAACTTATCTCAAATACATTTACACAGGATTTCGGTTCTAAAGCTGTAAATCCAACCTAAGCTCCTCACTGTGGCATCCGAGCCATGTCAGTACTTGCAGCCACGCAGATCCCTGTGAGATGGGCTGTATTTTCCCAATTACCAAAAACATTTAAGATGAATATCACAGAGAGGGTCATTTGATTTCCATTGTAATCATTAATGATTACTTCACTACTAAGAAACACACCTCCTCCTTCCCCATCGTTTCTTCATTCATAACCTGAATAAGTTAAGAATGGGAATACTTGAGTACAAAAAATCCAAAAAAACTTTGTGGATAACAATCCTTCTATGCATACTATCTGCAAGAAGAATGCATCATTAAAGACAAGTAATACTCTATTCCTCATAAAATACATTAATTTCATATAATCTTTAGAGTCTCCAAGCTCATACAGAAAAATCATACTTAAAAAAAGTATTTTCAAATCTTTCCCCCTTTCTCATTAATAGGGACTAAAACTTGTTCTGTTTCTTTTCTTCGTCCTTTTCCTTTTTTCTCAACATCATACTCAATGGAATTCAAAGCAATTATAAAGTCACAGAGAAAACATCAGGACACTGAGTTAGAATGAAAACCCTGAATAGGTACCTGAGAGTGAGCTGCAAAACAGGTTAGCACAGATTTGAGTGCCAAAGGCTTTTCATGAATGCGGTGAGATGATGAGAGGTAAACAAGAAGAAATAAGCTTCAGAGTCCATTCTCTGCAAAACTTATGTAAGTCTTTTAAGAGTCTGGAGCGATCAGAACACAATTTCTGTAACTCAGAAACTAATCATGTCAAAAGCTGTACAGGGTTTCTCATACAACAGGACACCCTTTAGTTATGCAGTCTTGGCCCTGGGGAATCCCACCACTCACAGAAGGAGCCAGCAAATTTCAGTAGAATCTAAAAATAACGTAGAATGCTACATTAAAAGATATTAATGTGGTAAACATTACTGCAGCTTGCCTAGCAGGGACGAGTCAATGCATAAATCTGTGCTTGCCTCCACTTGGATATTACCAGAACTTAAAACCAAAAATAGGAGCCCAAGATCTTACTTTATGGATTAACTGGAATAAATTGAAGTCAAACAGACATGCTCTGTGTGGCAGACGTGACCCTTTCCCAATAAAGCTTTCAGCAGATCTTCAGTTCAACAAATGCTTTCTATACGAATAAATTCAGATGCAGTTACCTCAAAAATCTGTTTTCATATTTCAGCATTTTTACTGCAGTGGTATCTAATGGTTCAATCAAATCCCATCCCTAAAGCTCTAGGTGCGTGTAGGACTGCACTCCTTATCAGACTAGTTTAGAGCTGATAGAATCCACACAAACAAATAAAACAAATAAAGGAAACATAACGCAAACAGATCAAATAACGTGGCAGAGATCACACTGTGTGCAGCAGAGTTACACATTCAGCCAGTGAGCCCCAGCTCACTGCCAAAACCTATTTCCAGGCTGAGCTCCCCAGGCTGCTGGGCCCACTTGTGCCCAGGTGTAGTCATTCCCTTTCTTCTTGGCCAAGAACTAATGACTATACAGGACAGTGAGCTACTGCGCTGGTTGCAATAGAGATTGCATTTTCTATAAATGGGAGACCATTCAGTCACCTGAAAGGTGCCTTAAAAGAGGAGCCCTCCTGCAGAGCAGACTGAAGCTCTATACAAGGTGGCTTAATACCTGTTAATAACCATGCTCTGGGTTTCAGTTATTCTTCTAGACATCTGCCTTGATGTCTAGAAAGCTCTGGAAAAGCAAACTTTGGATTTTAATCTCAAGGAAACCACCTGGGAAAATCCAACAGGAGCACGAAGCAATGTGTTAGTCTTTGCTCAGCATCCTGAGCTCAGGCCCTGGCAGCCACCCCAGACAGGGATAGAAGGAGCAGGAGAGCCCTCAGAACGATGCTGGTAAACAGGACTTCACCTCAGAACAGCAGCAGGCAGCAGTGCTCCTAGTGTCACATATCACAGCTCCAAACTTTAAAAGGACCACAAGTTACTAAGCAAGAAGCTGAAACACACCTAATGGAAACATGAGAATGGTTACATCTTCAGCTATCACCCACATCTATCTAAATCAAAAAGCGCTCACAGACTTCAGCTGAATCCAAATAAAAATCAAACTATCTGCAATTTTCATCTCTCAGACCAAAGCCTATGGAAGATCTCTGGTACCCAAGAGCAACTGCTGAGCAGCTGTGCACAGCACAAGCTGCCTGGGGCCATAGGAACACCCAGTCTGCAGGCATACCCTGTTTTGGGGAAGCAGGGGCTGCATCTCCCAAGCAAAAATCAAGTGAGGTGACGAGGACAGACACAGGTCATTACATGAACATAACAGAACTAGAAAATGGAACTGAAGATCCAGCACAGATACCAGCCACTGTGCTTGCCTTAAAGTCCAAATGACCACACCCAACTTCAAAGTATATTCCAACCTGAGCAATTCTATGATTCTGTACTCGCACAGACTTTCAAAACAAAAGGAATTCTCTCATATTTGTCAGCAGAACCAAGAAAAAAGTCTAGCATTAGGTCTCATTTTAAATGTTTTAACTACGCTACAAATTATTGAGTCAATTCATCAAGTTTGAGGCTGGCTCTAAACGGTTCCAGCTGCCACACAGAAACCTAGAACCAAACACAAACCAAATTTCTAAGGCTTCATGTCAGCTTCAATTTTCTGTTACATTAAGAGAATAATTTTAGCCCTAAGTTAACAGTTACTAAGAAGTGCTGAAGTTGAGCCCATTTAACTCTCAGTTTTAGTTAACAATGCTTCAAGATGAACTTGCAGTTAGACACATCGCATCTCTTTTGTTTCGGGATGTTCATTTGGGGAAATTTAACAGGCAAGAGATGCCTATCTGAGAATGGAATCAATCAGGAATGAAGTTACGACAGAAAGAATTTCAGCAGACCATAAAAGAGAGAGAGAAAAAAGAAAACCCCACTATAAGAATAGTCCGTCAAAATGCAACTGTAGCGAGTTTGGGCAGCTTCCCAGTGCTCCAGAGGGAATTCTGCTATTTGCTGAGTTTAGTGAATGTAATCGAGTACCGAAGGAAAACCAGCAAAAAAAAGTACTGCTGCTGCTTTCACCATTTTCTCAGTCCTGCTCAGTGTGAGAAAGCATACGGAAAACAGAGAAATTATTGTATTGCTGCGAAAGCAGATGTTCACAGCACAGATAAGAGTGACTGATTACACATAGAATAAAACTACACAATCAGGCTTTTTTTTTTTTTTTTTTTTTTAATAAAAGTCACTCAGCTGGCAGAGAGGAATAAAGAAAAAGAAGATTCAGAAAGTACTTTGGGAACATCTGCAGAGATAAGTCCTGCTCAGTTCCACAGTAAAAAGGAGCTAGTATTTTCCCTCGCAGATCATATGCAACATCATCTGAGCTACTTTCCTCCAAGAATCTGAGTGTACAACATTAGGCAGGAAATTCTAACTCATTCAGAAGAGATGCAAACAGTTAACAGGAAACATAACATGAAATAATTCAAGCAATCTCCTTCCAAAGGCAACAGATAGTCCACAAGTTATTTATAGAGGAAAATGCAAAAGAGACTGGAAAGCACTTAAAGCTTCTGAGGTTTTAAATACTCACTTCTTGCAGCCAAAATCACATCAGATGAACATCCAGGAAAATTTTTAAAAGCTCACATTAAGGAGCTTAACCAGCTGAGAACATGATGTAGCCCTTCCTCTGGGCCGTCCAGCCATACGCATTTACTCATTCAACAGAAGCACAGAGCGTGATATTGTAGTGCAGCCTTTTACGTAGGGATGCCAGGAGAGGGGGGAGGAGAGGAAAGCCCTTCCCAAAGGCTTTAGTTCAGCCCACTCATTAAAATACAGAGTGGAAACAGCTGCCATGGAAAGGAAGAGGATGTCCTGGCAGTTTCTTGGGTGTAAAATGATTTAGTTCTGGAATCTTAACAAGAAAGATTTTTTTCTGAATTTTATTCTTACTCTGCATTTCTCTTAAAAATAAATAAAACAGTAATTAAAAAACAAAACAGATAACTCTGTCTCTAACTCAGCTCAGAAATTCATATAACATACTGGATAGTTATCCGTCCATTTTCAAAATTAGTACGTCTTATTAGGGGAAATAAATCCCCAAAAGATCCTATTTCTCCTCCTTGCGAGGACAACTACAAGTTCATGTACGCTTTCTAAGGCTTAAATCTTCATGTAATGTAATACCAAATTCATTCAGAATGCCTGCTCACCAAGAAGTTCCAAGAAGATAATAAATACTAGTTCATTAGTAGCAACATTTATGAGTGACAGCATCTCTCATATATATTAGCACCTCAAAGTTAAGACTAGATAGGGAAGAAAGATAGATGGCAACAATAATGAAAGCCCCAGGAACATTTCTTCAAGGAGACACTGAAAAAAATGAGGATTCTTCAGTCTGAGAAGGTGTTGACAGAGGGGAAATGAGAGCTTTATTAAATCTTGAAAGGCATCAAAACCACAAATCTGGGAATGGTGACTCGTTCCTTCTGGTAACACAAGCACTGAATGAAATCTTCTCAGGCTACTTCAAGCTTCAGAACAAACAAAAACCAGTACCTTTTTACAGAATATATAATTGGATTGCAAACCTCATTGCCACAGGATCTGCTGTGTAAACTAGCTCAAAAATTAAATGCTAAAGCTCATACCTTGGGAAGTTGTTAACCACAAGTTACTAGAAGGTACAGATACTTTGGTGAACTAGCACTTTGCATTTGGCCTCCACATTAACCCCTTCCCTAAGGCTGTGACACTGGCTCCCGCCAGAGATAGCAGACTGGATTAGGAGGAGCATCTTTGTGCCACACCTATTGCTTTGTATTATCAGTGTAGGTACGTCTATTCCACAAACAGAGAATTAACTACGTACATTAAAAGACAAGCATCAAAGCTATTTTGAATTTCTGACTACAACCCAAAATAAGACATTGGGACATAACCATTACTGGCCTGAAGTAAATTTGCACTTCCTCAAAGGCAGCACCCAAAGCGTCCCCCGAGACTCCAGTCCAACTACTTCATGACTTCACGACTTCTCACCACCAGTCTTTCCAAAACAGATTTCAGCAGCTATTTCTCCTATTTTCTGCTTTATGTGTTCTGATCATGAAACCTGATATTTAATATCAAAGCTATTTTAAGTGCATGTATTTCTTTTTTTATATATCGTCAGCTGGCATTTTTCAATTTTCAACTGGGTAACAGCCACAGCAGCAAGTAGCAAATAGTTGTACAATGAGAGGCATACCTTAAAAACAGCCTTGCAGTGCTCAAGCGCTCACTGCATAGCAAAAGGCGTAACTGCCCACTAGCTCTGCTGCTTCAACAGCTGGTCTTAATTAATATTCAGAAACAAGACACTTCTATGCAAAATTAACCAACTGACTTCAGAGACTGGGTCTAAGAAAAGCATTCACAAACTCTGCTTCTCTACTCCGCTTAATTTTAAGCTGGGACTTAACAGCTGTTTGTCTGTCTTTGCATGTTTAATGTTTCCTGTAGGTCTGCAAAAGCATGCAAAATATTTTAGCTCAAGGCCTCTATATGGTTGTAATAGGAAATGGCTGTCTCCCTTAAAGAGCTGGGTTAGTATAGAAACAGGGATTGTCTGTCTGACAGTGAAGTTTTTAGTGTATATCTCAAAGGGAAGGAAAAGACACATAAATATTTACTGCCTTCTGTACACACCACAGAATTCAAACGCTGCCTATTTTTGGTTACTTCTTCTCTAAACAATCCAGGCTAAGGTCTGGTACTGTTGTTCTCATTGTTGTTTTTTTTTCATATCAATAGAAAGTTCTGCTCCCACCTTTGCCAGACAGTTCCTCTAAGCTGCAAAACAGCATCACAAAGAGAAAGCTGCTATCTGAATCCTAGGCTGGCCAAGACTACTTGCTTGTGCAAGGTGTGATCATGTCACAGACCCCTTAGTCTTTCTGAGAGCATGCATGCTTCCTGTGTGAGGCTTCAAACCTATGTTGAAACAGCCTTCTAGTGTTTCAGCATGAGGCATGGTGAAGACATATACATAAGCAAGGTTCTGCTTCCTAGTTCTGTCCTCTTTCACTTCACCTATGCTGAAGAGCACACAACATTCCCTCCACAGAAAGTGCATGGGATGAAGCAGCAGAAACAGATGTTCCCTTTCCTCCGGCATAACCCTAATGAACAGCCTTCAAATCTGATCTTTGACCCATTTACAGCTTCAAATTGTGGTCCTTAGCCTCCTTCACCACTGTGCTCCAACAGGTCCATCCTTTCTTTTTCACATTACAATATACGTACTGCTAGAGGACCAGCAGCACTGAAAATCACTTTCACTTCCTAGATGCACCCTTACCGTACCTGCCCTTCTTTAAGGCTCGACTAAAACTGCAATCTTCACCTCCACCCCTTTGTTTCTCTCTTTTATTTAAGAGCCATGTGGTAAATAGAGAGGAACTTAAAGGATTCGCACTTCCTTCATGTGGTTGTAACTACACCTTGAGTCATGAAATGCTGAGGAAGTTACTGATGGAGTAACTCATGTAAATACATAGCAGTGAAAACTTGCTTATCCAAAAAACAGCCAAGGTGCAACCAGATACTCTGATCAGTAGACAGGAGCTCAGCTCACTGATGGGAATATGTTTCAGGATGCTCAATGAAACCAATGAAAATTTCCTACAAAACACAAATTTGCAACAATTCAAGAACTGGATAGGAGGTCCTGCAGGTCTGAGAGAAGATGAGGGTTCAGTGAATAATAATTTTCCTTCAAATGATACCTTAGCACAAAGCCTTCTAATGTGGGCTTGTACAAATCAGAAGGGTCACTACAGTGCATGAGGATCCAGCCTTGATATACTTAGTTAAAAAGAGTTACACCTGCAGTATGATCTGAAGCAGTTTAACAGAATTGATTGCAGGAACTGCACCCCAATAAGATTTTCTTTGCATTTCATCTGAGTTTTCTTGTCTCTCTTTTTTTTTTTTTTTTTTTCCTTTTATGTAATAAATCTGGTTTGGGATGCCACTGAGTTTCCACCAGTTCAGTCCACTTCTTGCCTCATTTCCACTGAACAGCACTACAAAATGAAAAGAAAATGAGAGCAAAGGTACTTAGGCAAGGGAAGCGAAATGGACAGAATGATTTTCACAATAAAGATGGATCAGTGCAATCTTTAAAAAAAAAAAACAACAAAACAAGCATTCTTAACAGAGATAAGTTATACACACACAGCATTTTTCTTGATCATGGGAGATGCACATAGAAGTCCAATGGGATATTCTGAGCACAGAAGGCTGAAGTGTCTCTGGATCCATTCAAAAAAACGCACCCACTTCATGGAACCAGAGATTGATTTAGAAATCTGGTGGGCTGAGGCAATTCAACCAAGCATCAGGGATGCGGAACAAAACCTCAAACAGTCTGAATCTGTTCTTTGGATCACAAAGCCTCTCCCTTCCAGCTAACTTCCCCACCCACCCTGAAAGCATTCTGCTTTGGGAGTGGCTCTTCTCATACAGGAAACAAAATTTTCTTTTACTGTGGTTCACGGAAAATTTTCTCATTTTTCTTTCTGCAGCCCACCTAGACTGGAAAAAAAAAACATTAGCCTCATCCAAAACCCAGGGTTAACAACTCTGCCTATCTGTGGATAGTTCTTTTCAACTAGCAAGGAAGCAATCCCACAACTGCCTTTCATATGGCTCATTATGGGAATGGCGGTGCAGCACAACCACAAAAAGAGTTGTACTGGATTAATTTGAGAAGTTATTGGAGAGCACTTTGAGGTACTTCCATCTGAAAAAAGGCTTATGAAAACAGGGATTAGATCAATTCTAGGGCAACTGTGGTCTTTAAGTGTACGAGGGCTTCCCATAAATTTGGATGGTAATAAGAGACAACTGGATACATAGATTTTATTCCAACTTGTTACAGATCATGAGATATAAAGATTGAGTCGTGGAGTATAAATAATACAATTCTCAGGTACAATAACTGAATTTATTACCAATCCAAAGTCTGCAATCAGTAACATGAATCCTATTATTGCCTTCAGCAGGATTTGGATCAGTCTTCCAAAGAGCAATTTGGGAAAAAAAAAATAAAAAATAGAGAAATAAGAGCATTTTAATTTTAGCAATGTATAGAAAATATATATATTTTTTTCCTTGTCAGAAAAAAAAAAAAAAAAAAAAAGGACTTGGATGAAGCTACAGTTGATCAGATCATCACTTTATTTAATCCAAAAAGCCTTTATCAGTACCAGAAGCCCCATAGTCACATACAAGAAACTAATCAGCAATTCTGGGAAAGCTGCAGCTGGGCATCTCTACTGAGAAGAAACAAAGCAGCTTCACTGCATCAGCAAGGCATCAATTTGCATTTACTGGATAAGTTTTCAGCTGGACCAGTTCCCAATTTGCCTCACCAGTGCTAGCCACGAGTTGGATCAGTTTATACCAGTTAAGAAAATACAGCTCTATAGAAGAACTTAAACATAAAATCTTTCACAGTTTGGTGATACAAAGCAGAAGCCAAGAGAACAAGTCAGGTAAGACAAATATTTGGGAACAAGTATCATTGTCTGTATGTCTGGAGCGATGTTCCTGGCATTTCTGAGAACTCAGAACCAAACATGTGAATCTACTTTAAAGCAGAGCTCGCACAAGGAACCTGTGGCATAGCAAGAAGCAAAGTCTGGAAGCCCGACTCTCATATTGTCCCTCTTCAGATGGCTTGATG